TATTTTTATGGAAGTCACTTAAGAGCAATAGCAATACACCTGCTGATTCACAGGAACAGCAGCTGTACTCATGCAACAGCCACATGCACAAACACAGTCCCTACTGACACGCTGTATGTCTTGTCAAGACTGCCTGAGTATTTAAGTAAGTCTGTTATTTCTCCAAACCCCAACTCCTTCAAGTTTTCCTTGAGAATTATTCTGCTGAGGGATACATTTTCATCAACGCTATGGATTTATAGGAACAAAGCCACTTGCTGAAACTCAGGCAAAGCAAGCAGAGGTCCAAAACCTCAAACCACCATCAGGACACACCTCCAGTTGTGATGGGGACAAAATAAAAAGGCTTCCCAGAAGAACAGTTCATTCGACCTCAGTCTGGGATCAAGATTAGGCCTGACAGGCTGCTCACCACCTCTCTCATCTCCTTTGCTACTTGAGCTACAGCAGATTTTCTGTTACTGCCCATTACTCTATGAACCCTAAAGAGTGGTAGTAAGTAAAGGTCTGGTCATCAGCCCAGAATCAGAATCATTAGTCTGGATTTACAGTGGTGTGCTCAGTTAGAACTAGAGCCAAATACCACTCCATTCACTATGCTTGCTGCACTTCAGCATCTTGGTCCTGGATCTACTTCTTTTCCTTGGAAAAAAGTACTGTACAGAGTACTTACAGGGTGATCAGCATGCTCATTTTGCAACACTTCCCTGAGTTTCCTAGGTTAAACACACCATAGTAGGTAGCCCAAGCAAAAGAGGAGAAATCTTGAAATCTCTGTTACCTGGCAGACCTCCACTTACATCCTTATGCCCCACTTGCAAAGTTCAAGGAGTCATTTCAGGCAGGTTTACAATGAAGTCATTATAATTCTGCTATTTATTCCTTTCTATTTAAGAGCCTGCAATACAGCCTGGTTTGAACACATATTCTGCCTCTGGGAGACAGGCATTAAAGCAAGATTTGATAATAACATCATTCCATTTAATTGTACAAGGAAAAATGTAATGCATTCACAGTATGTAGCATTAACTCCTTTCAGTTTTTCTATTCTTTGTTTCTGCTTGAATTCATAGCTTACACTTAAATATTTTTGCAGTATTCAAAAGACTGTCTCAAGCACTGTAGTTTAAATCAGACAAAGAACAAACGAAGTCTTGAAAAAAATGATGACCAACTGCATCATCGGATAAGCTCTTCCTTCATGCAGGTCTTGGCTAGAATACAAGAGTTCGGTTATTACGGAGCAAGTCAAACATATCCATGATTCCTTGCCTTGTTTTAAGGTCTTTAGGACATCGGTCCCTTCCCCAACAGCAGGCACCTTCCATAGAGAGTTCTGGATATGTCTGATATCAGTTACAGCCAAGTGAATAAATTCTTGGGCTCAAAGCATCAGCTGATATAAATCACTACTGTGCTAATGAAGTCAAAAGAGCCACATCAGTTTACACACAGGACATGACCCATACTTGCAGCCTGGGAAAGCAAGTCAAAGGAAAACCGCCTTTTCTTTTTATAGCCTGGTTCTCTAATTAGGATTTTTGTCTGCACTGTAATTTGGTATTGGGGGGGGGGAGAAGAGCACCACATACTTTCAGCAGATGGATCAATACGAGCTATAAAAACTTGTCATAGCTGAGTTTACTCAAACATAATCTGCAAACGTCCCAGAGCCTTCAAGACCCCAAAAAGTATGAACAGTAATTGTTGTAAGCACACTGGGAATGGCAATTCTAGTAAAAAGGCTGGCTAATAAGAAGTGACATCCCCTGCCTGGGGAGGGAGGAGGGACTGTGATCCTGAAAAATTTTGGGCTCAGGAGACAAACAAAAAGGAGGAAGTGGAATAAAATGGCCATCCCATACATGCCAGGTTGGTGTCCAGGTAAGAGTCCAAGCAGCGTGCACGTGGTAATTAGGATTTTTGTCTGCACTGTAATTTGGTATTGGGGGGGGGGAGAAGAGCACCACATACTTTCAGCAGATGGATCAATACGAGCTATAAAAACTTGTCATAGCTGAGTTTACTCAAACATAATCTGCAAACGTCCCAGAGCCTTCAAGACCCCAAAAAGTATGAACAGTAATTGTTGTAAGCACACTGGGAATGGCAATTCTGGTCCTTAGTAAAAAGGCTGGCTAATAAGAAGTGACATCCCCTGCCTGGGGAGGGAACAGCTACTGTGATCCTGAAAAATTTTGGGCTCAGGAGACAAACAAAAAGGAGGAAGTGGAATAAAATGGCCATCCCATACATGCCAGGTTGGTGTCCAGGTAAGAGTCCAAGCAGCGTGCACGTGGCTTGCCTCTGGGGACAAGTGAGGGAAGCACTTTTGAATTAAAAAAGTGCAAGACTAAGCACAGATAAAAAACAACTAGGGAAACAAAAAAATAAAACTAGCAAATCGTTGCTTGATTATTGTGCAAAGAGTAAGTTACCTATTTTGCCACTCTGGAAACAAATAGTTAAGCTGTTTTAACATGATTGTGTAATTCACTTGACAAAGAGAAAGGATAACCCAGCTATAAACTGGGAAAACAGATGACTAATCATGCAGTTGATAAACAGTTTGCTCTGCTAGAAAAAGACCTGAACTTCAACTATTCAGTCCTTCCATGCCTGCATACTTCTGCCCAGTTCTCTCAAACCATCCCTACTCTACAACACTGTGAGAACAACCTTTGGCAGCCACCTCCCAGGACTTCTCCCACTGAAGGGCAGTGATCCCTGACCCAACAGGCTAGAGAGCCCATGCTCTGCAGACTCCTTCAAAGTCACAGAAGAGGACTGGCCTCGTATTTTACTAGCATCACTGTCAGCTTAGTTTCCTGCTTCTGAAGTCAGAGTTTAGGGTGTGAGCTGAAGCACTGCAGGCACATAACACTCCCCTGGATGGCACAATGATTTCTTGGTGCTAGTCACCTTGTTCTCTAGTGCAGATCTCCAGCAGAAGGATCAGCATTGTGTCATCAGCCCAGTCTGAAGACAGGGAAAACAGCGGGGGTATGATGGAACAAAGGAAGAAGAGACAAACAAGATTTCAGTGACTCCTATTATTGTTGAAGGGAACAATTTCTAAAGGCTTCTTCTCAGAAAAGGAAATGGACACGATTGTTTGGGAACATCCACAAGCATGAATCTCAAATGTTAACCCTCAGGATTCCCTTATTAAAGGTGCCATTAATCAAAGGGACAGGCCAGAATTTACTGTTCCCTTCAGCTTTATAGAGGGAGCACAGGAGTGTGTGTTGGGAAAGCTTTCAGGCTTTCCCTGAGGAGGCATGAGTCTGTCTTCCCTCTTGTATGAGCTTCCTTACTTGTCAGCATGATTCTTTCCACTGAGCAACAGGTAAAAGAAAAGCTTTTTAAAAAGGAAATACTGCACTTTTCCGTTAAGGTTACAAGTGATAAACCTCCACAACTAGCATACTTCTCCTACTGAAGAAGAGGAGGGAGCATTTTTTCCACATATAGTCAACAGTTTTCTTTCATTTGCCTGCTTCTGCGATCAGCATTTTGGTGGCAACCCCCCCTCCCAACGCAGAGTTAGGGATACTCAGTGGCTTCAGCAGTCTTTCCAAGCAGGGCAAGGACAGCTGCATTTTGAACAGGATTGATCCAGAGACATGAATAAACTCGAACTGATGCAGGCATGACAAAGTCATGCAAGCGATTTCTCATGACCTGACCCACCATGAACATTCACAAGCCCTAACAGGCATTGCAGGAAGGAGACTTAATAGGACTTGTCATCCACCTTTGCATTTTCTGCACAAGAAGGGAGAGCTAGCAACCCAAGTCCTCTCCCGCAGACATTTCCACTCATCTGACAGACACACAAACAAAACAAACTGCCATAGACCCTCTTCTCCATTGCCTCCTTGATTCCCATCTAAAAGAACGCAGCGGACAACATGCTCTGAATGGGGAGGGCCACACAGCCCTGGATGTATCTGACGACACCAAATCGAACCACACACTATACCAGCTCATACCAACGAGCAGGCTGGAGCCTCCTGCTAAATCCTTATCAGTACAAACAGCCACACAGCAGAGAGTCCAGGGCAGAAAAGCTACATGACTGCTCAAAGTCTCAGATCAAGTCTCATTTCTGACAAAATTTTAATTCCAAAAGCCCTGTGCTATGAATCACTACATGACTGAAAAAAACATGGAGGTAGTGTTAACGCAGTGTTAGGTTCCCCTGGGATTTACGGAGCTCTGTGAGGAAGACACCTTCTTATAAAAAATAATCCTCATCTGAAGCAACTGCCAAACATGGTCTTTAAGGAGAAGGTTTCAGATATCTGCAATAAAAGCTTGACAAGAACAACACAGAGCCACTTAAACCTGATGTCATCTTAACATTTGGGCAATTCTGCCCAAGGTTGGCTTGATGATTCAAAATGGGAAGATTCACTACTCTTTAGTGTAAGGACAGAGGGTAGAATCATCATTTGTCTGTCTGCCAGGTCAACATAGTCAAACAAGACCTCATTTGTGACAGAACTTTTTTTTTTTTTTTTTTTTTTTTATAACTGTGTATCTGTGAGCATTCACACACTATACAGGCATGAATCATTTGGGTATGACACTGACTATCAAGATGGATAGGTAAGATTTCTAAATGTGAAGTAGCGGTACAACACTAGGATCCCCTCCCTCCTCACAGCTCCCTCAAATAAGTGGAGTGGTGCAGCTGGCATGCTCAAGTGATGACACAGTACCAGCAGCACAAGGTACACTTTCCTTGGAAAAGAAGGGGCTCATGGTGATTCTCAGCATATTATCCTTCAAACACCTTATAGGCAGCAATGCAGTCCCTCTACCTGCCCTGAAGTCATGCCATTCCTGCAAGTTGTAATGCATTGCCTGAGAGGAGGAATGAGAGGGCTCCTAGGTCCCTCTTACATCATTTCAGCCTTTAAATGGGGGCCACAAATCCACTCTTCACCTTGCCCCAGCACACTTTGAGGCACCAAAATGAAATTGCATCTTACCTTGTCTTTGTATAAAAACCCTGAGCAGCGGATGAGCACTTGAAACAGCCTTGAAGAAGTTGTCATCATTATTAATAGGGAGAAGGTCTCCATGCACATCAGCATATCCGATCATCACTTCCAGGTTGGCTATGTGATGAATGTGAAGAATTAGTTTGTAGAAGTCTTCAAACTTTCCTGGCTTGTAGCGATCCAGGGAGAACCTTCTGAACTCTGCCCCAAACTGCAAGAGAAAACAAACAGAGCGTTTGCTGTCAAATGTCACCACAGCCCAATGCTCTAGCTTGGCATTTGAACATACATCACCTCTCTCTTTCTATGATGAATATAGTCACATATCGGTGCTTTCAAGTCTACAAATGACCTTTTAGGCCCTCACATTAGAATATAACCATGGCTACCAAGACACCACCCTGCTTGACAACAGATATGCTCAAGTCTGCCACCTTAAAAGAAAGTGTATTTTTTAAATATTAAGTTTTCATTAAATCCTCTAGAGGATAATTGCATTTGTAGGATTTAACTTTGAAGCTCCATCATTCATTATCATCATCTCAGGCATCCACAGAACCATTCTTCTCCGAAGCAGAAGTGTTCACTCTACTGCTTTCAAAAGAAGTTACTCAGCTATTCAACCAACCTTATAAAAATTCTTTGCACGTTTCCCATCAATACCACTAGGATCCCAACCACAAGACCTTTAAAGAAGTGTGGTATGTGAGCACACAGCTTGTTATTAGGAAACACACTCACTCTACATGCCCCCTGAATTTCCTGGTATCCATACAGGAGGAGGAAAGTTCTTATTCTAAGTTAGTTTTCATGGGTTTAATTTTTCTGTCACTCCACTGTTTTTTATTTTTGAAGCTTTACAGACCAGTAAGTGGTTGTTAAAAAGAAGGAAAAAAAAAAAGAAGAAAAAAAAAAGAGGGTGTGATTTGGCACAAGACAATTGAAAATGTTATAAATCAATGAAGTTATTTAAAATAAGTCAGAAAGTGATTGAGGAAAATATTTCAATGGACCTTATTTCTGATATTAGAAACCAAATATGCTATTAAGAACAGGAGGAAAAAAATTAGATTCTCTAACCAAGGAAATGAAGAGAGTGAAAACACAGGCATCTAGTTAAACTAAGTAGCTTAAATAATCTTTCTGGTACTTTTAATTCCATAACTCAGATTGTATAGTACTAGTAAACTACTGTTCACCAACTGAACCTCTAAATCATGCTAACTCACTCCTGAAAGCATGGAACCACATCCACAAATCCAAGAACAAGGAAGGCTGTGACTAGGATCTCATGGAAGTTCTCATTTGCAAAGTCAGTCAATACCAGGGCAAGAAACCAAAGGAAAAAAACAAAACAAAACTAACAAACAAAGGAAGAAAAAAAAATATTGAGAATTTTCTGTAGAGAAATTCTTCCTCAAAATGGAGAATGACTTGCTCAGAGATTCTCAGATGTTAAATCAACTTATACATGCAAGCCACTCTTTTGCTGAGACTAACAAAAGTATGAATCATCACCATAATCATCTTCAAGCAAAAAAAACCAAACAACCCTACTGGCCTTGGGTGCAAGCATGTTCTCAAATTACTTCCGCAGTTATGAAAATCCCACTCTTCAGCATCAAAGCCTAGTTGCGATCATCTGAAAGCTTGTTTAGTCAAATTATGCTGCTTGTTTGTAATATTAACTGCTAGTTCCAGTTTGGATTTCAATTCAGAGTGCCCATCCAAATGCACAAAAGCTGAACAAACCACAGCTGGTTCCAATGGAGGAAAAACAGCCCTCCTTTGTCCTCCACCCCCTGCTCCTCTCCAGAAAAATCTGAGTGGCAACTTACTTCTGTTGACATATTTCGAACTGAAAAAAAGCTTAAGTCTTTTTATTTGAAAAGTATCTTAAAGTTTTCTTTTTCTTAGATTCAAACAAGAAGCAACCATCTTCAAGTGACAAGTTTAACATCTGCGTGGTAAACTAAAGGGGCAGGAACAAGATCTTTGTAGGCTTTGCTTAGGGCTGCATCTCCTGCTCCCACACACCTGAACAGAAACAAAGGATTCCTTTAGCCAAAAAAGTGCCAGGCCAGGGTATTTGGATGCCAATCTCAGTAACCACTTGTTTACTGGACAGACTACTTGTTCAGGACCATTAGCATGCACGGTACTTGCAAGGAAGCGGATGCTGTGCAGTCTCTCCCCAGCCAGTAAAACACCCATCCTACACAACCACCCGGACACCTGCCCGGCATGGTCCTGCTCGGCCTGACACAGGTGCCGAGGCACAGACAGCTCCCGTGCTGGGGCATCGCACTCAGCGGGAAAGCGACATGGGAAAGGAGAGAGGAAAGAAGCAAGGATGGTTATTTACACGTTGGTATGACCCAAAGTTCAGCTTAAGCTGCCACATGAGAGGAGGACAGCTGGTGAAAGGGCCAGGCCTCCCAGCCTAACCCCCGCGGGCACGCTAGACACGATTGTATCAGTGGAGCGTGACATGTGGGTAACAGGCCACCCACAGGGATTCAGCTGCAGACTTGGGGCGCTGAGGTCTGATGCGAACGCTGTGTAGTCAAATGAACTCGTCCACACGTTCAGCCTCAGGAAAGCCCAAGAGACAATTTCCTTCACCTAGGAACAGGACGACAAATGCAAGCGATTTCACTTGTGCTTTTTGCAGGACGCAGGCCTTTAAGGCAAGGGAGCTAGAAGGTGATTCTGCAGAAAGGAGTAGGAGGAGGGAAGAGTCTCTTCAAAAGAGATTTAAGCAGATAATGCAGATGACGTTTTGTTGTTTAAAGGTTAGTATTACTGTAGTAGTAGTTTAGCTGATTAACTCACCCCGTGCTTATACACAGGCAGCAACCATTGTCAACGGGTTTTTTCAGAAGAGGGGAAAAAAATGCTTCAGCAGTGACCGTTCATTCATCATCCCTAATGAGGCTGATAGAGAGTATCGCAGTAATAATAGGTTTTGCAGTACCGCACAGCTTGGAGACTGGGTGCTCTGCATTGTATTCAGCCAGGATTTCAAGATAACATCCACCACGTATCTTCCAGAAACTACAAATTCTGAGGGCTTTGCACAGATAGCCAAGATGACTATCTGCTTTCCTAAGCTACAAACAAAGTTCATCTTTAGTATATCCCTCCACAGAAAGAGACACAAGGACTGGTGTCTGCCAGCAGTCTCTGCCAGAACAATACTGTATTACACTGTTTGATAAACTAACAGTTTTAACAAGCAGAGTAGTTTTCCATAATGAAGTAAATGATTCTGACCTATTTATCTAATGCAAATACTACATTTACTATTGCAGAAGTCAGAGGACAGGAGGGTCCAAGGGGACTTAAAAGAATTTAGTCTGACAGAGCTAATTATGACTGAAAAAAAAAAACTAGAAAGAACTGTACATTTGTTTCACAAAGAACAAGCTCTGTCCCAAGATCCTCCGAAGTATCTGCCAGCCACTATACTTGCTGTCTGCAGCTAGATGACAAAAAGCACCCAACAAAATGCTATACATCAAGCAGGAACCATGAGCAAAACCAGATGCCAAGAAAAATTATCAAAAAAAGAAAAAACAAAGTGTTCTGATAAAAGTTGTGTTAAAGAAGAAGGAAGTCACAGCTAGCTGACCAAAACGTACACAGGCTGACCAAGAGCAATCAACTGCTCATTTTTTTTTTTTTTTGAGGAGGGAGCAGGATTTTGACATTTGTTTACTTGGAGGGCTACTATTTTGTGAAATTAAATGGAAGAGTTATTTGCAAGCAAGAGAGACCAACTTCTTCTTTAAATTTTAAGTTTCAAAAAGTTTACAGGGTCAAAAATGAAGCCCTATGTTTATGAGGTGCCATCCTTCTAGTTTATCGCTGGCTTTGAGTTCAGGCTATTGTAACGAGAAAATATCAAAGAGCAACATTTAGCAATAAACATGAATTACCTTAGCCACCTACTTCTCCCATGAAGTAAGTATCAGGAACAGAAACAAAAACAAACACTTTCATCATAGACTGTAATTTCAGCTTACCTGCGAGATTTTCAAAATGGGGAAGACCTGATCAGGGCTGCTTTATCAGTGAGAAGGAGCAGAGGCCAAGATAGAGGAGGAGGGAAGACTGAATGTAGATGGTTTTGTGCTGGCTGACTTCATCTGGGACTTCAGAGCTCTGCTGTCACATTCATGTCTGTGTTTCTCTGTTCCCTCTTTCTCCTGCAGCCATGTCTTCCCCAGCTCACCCAGCACTCTCTTGCTCTGCTCCCAGTCTCACAGCGCTTGTCACTAGTGGCAAGATGCCACCAACCAAGCAGATGTTCTCTGCAACAAGCTCTCTCTTCCCCCCTTCAACCGCCTGTCCCACAGCAGCTCTGCTCCACCCCAATGATCAAGCTGGTGGGAAGTGTGGGATTTTGTGTTCTGCTCGGTCCCCTGCTCACCTCTTGCTATTTCTTCCAAGAGACAGTCACAAGAGCAAGACAGTCTCTCTTCTATTTGCCCTTCGTAGGAAGCCCATCACAGATACAATTTCACTACCTTCTCCCTCAAACTTTTTTCCTGATTGGCATGGTGCCATACTCCTACCCTTTTCCTTTGTATTCTCCCTTTTCACTCCCCCATAAAAATACAGCCATGCTCAGTATCTTCAATTCTTAGAATAGTTTATCTCCCCAAAGAAACCCAGTGGTTCCCCTTCTTTTTCATGCTTCTTGGGCACAATGCTTCATGTCTCTGCTTTTCATTTGAAGAACAGCCTTTGCAACCCCTCCAACCCTCTCCAGCAGTCTGTGAGGCTCAGTCCATGACAACACTTTTCTCTCTTCTGCATCTACTCAGAAGACAAATTCGGCTTCTTTGTCTGTCCCCCTCACTCTCAGATCAACTTCTGTTCATGAGACGCACCTCCCATGCAAGCTCTTATTGATCTCTTCACAGATGCTCAGCTGCCAGCTCAAGGGCAACTTAAAGCTAAGCTTACCCTTTTCCCTGCTTCACCTACTTTCTTTCATGATTATTGGGCACAAGACCATTATACTGCCTTCCCCAGCACCTGTAAGTCCAGTACCACCCTTCATCCAGGCAGTTGCATATATCCATATGTTAATTACCCAGAGCTTTTCTGCCCAATATCTTAAATCCATGGACACCATTCAGCTACTTATCTGCACAGCTGGACTTTGCCTTGACTGCTGCTCTGTACTTTTCCCTAGCTTTC